TGCGGAACCTTTACTGTACGCATGACTACGAGATGGGAACATAGAGCGATCACTGCGTCTGGGTTTCGCAAATGCGCTTAATTTGGGTACATGGACAGTTACTTTCTCCAGTTCACAATTTCCTCGCCTCGTGCTGGCTGCTGGGTCAGTTGAGCTGCCGCTGTGGCAGGTTCTGTTCCTCTGAATCTGTGAGAACTATGGAGGCTGGGGTGGCATTCCAGAACCCGGCGTCCACCGAGACCATCTACCCGACATGTCCACCCTGCTTCTTCGGCTCATCCCAGCTCAGCTACCGCATGCTGGTATCACTGCACCTTTGGTGCCAAAGCCCGTCACTGCACATCTCCCTGCTCCTTCATCTCCAAGCAGACTAAACGGGTTAAGACAGTCACGGCAACAAAAAGTGACACTGGGAAAATTTAATTGAATGCGAGGGACGCTGGATGATGATTGAGCTCGGCCACATTAAAAGATGAGAGATCATCTCATGTCGTAAAGGTGGCTAGTTTTCTATACGTTAAATATTATTCTGTTTGCTCGAGTGCACAGCCAATATATCTAAACATTCTTCGTTTGTTTACACTATTTTATGGAGCGCTAGTTTGCACCACACATCATAGGACCCTTCGAAGGTGACACGGTTTCGATGCTAGTTATTTCGAATTGCGCCTCCATTGATAAGGTTTATCAAGGGGTGTTAAGGCTAAGAAGGTTTAACCATAACGGCTGCCATCTTCCAGGCCTGGTTCCTTAGGTGAAGAGAGAAGTCTTGAGAAGGTCAGGGTAGTAGGAAGAATATATTCTTTACAGAATGAAATGGAGAAGAGGCAATAGGAAATTTGACTATTAGACGACCGCACAACCGCAAGGCAGCAGACGCCGTCCGAAGTGAGGTCTGCTTGGCAGTTGTCACATGAAGGCCTGTGTGAGTCCGTCTGTGATTGGCTGTTTCAGAGACTGGAAAGTGCGAGCACTTCCGAAAGTGTACGTCGACTTAAGCTTGTCATGAGAGACGTTCACAAGTGCATTTCGTCCTGAGCCAGTAAGTGCAGGTTAACTAAAATCTGTTTAACCCATTACCTCTCTGTGATCTCATATGAGATCACTTAAAAATTAAGAGCTTTCGTAATTATCGGTCTGTATATACGCATATTTAACCTTCATGCTATATAATTAGGTATATTTCTCTTGATATCCACAGAGATTTTTAAAAAAATTCGCTCTAAATTAATTTATATACAAGTTTGAAAAAGTCAAAAATGTACTCCTCAGAACTATTATGGGAGGTAATGGGTTGATAACGTAAATATCTGGGGAGAAATTGGGAACTTGCAGTCTGCGTGTTTTTTTACCGTGACCCCTCGCTTAACATCGATCGATGCAATGCCCAAAAGGCCTCTTAGAAATTCTTCCTACCCAAATATTTAACACAAGTCCATTTGTAGTAGGTCATTAGGAATTAGTCCCGTGTCCGACCGCAGTTTTCCGTTACTAGGCTAGTCTGTGCTGTTTGAATGCAGAAACAAAATCTAATAAGAAATTAAAGTATCTACCACATGACTTTGCAATTGATTGCGTAGCTCAATGTTTACAGGATAGTCCTGTCGAGATCCTAACGCAAAGCATTATAGAACTGCTCAAACTCTGCCTTATGAACTACTGTCAATTTGACAATAATTACTACCAACAGGTAAAGGGAACCCCAATGGTCTCACCAATATCAAGACTACTCACAGAAATAGTATTACAGCAAGTATATGAAGAGGTTATTCAAACCCTTAAGCCCACAACGTGGCTCCGTTATATATACGACACTTTTGTCACAATAGACAATAAGGAAGTCGAAATGCTACAGCAGAGGCTGGATGCTGTCTTCTCAGCCATACAGTTTACTCGTGAAGATGCAGTAGTAGACATGCTGCTTTTTCTGGATGTGAAAATACAAAAATTGGGCGATGAAAATTTGACCACAAGCGTTAATAGGAAAGGATCCGATGCGGAGATTATCCTAAATTATGACAGCAACCACCCCGCTGCTCACAAAAGAAGCTGCGTCGAACTCTATTCTATCGGGCTTATCGCTATCGCAACAGCGACGATCTCCTCAAGAAAGCACTTGCTTATCTGTGTCGGTTGTTTCGATCTAACGGGTATCCGCTAAGTTTTGTAAAGAACTGCCCCAGGCGTCAAGCACAATCGCAAGCCCCCAACCCTAACAGAGATATTACGACACGGGAACTCTACTCCCTGCCTTATATGTGGAAAAATTTTGAAGTAATTGCCAGGCAGTTAAGTCGCTTCGGTATCCATATCGCACACAAATCAGCACCCTCATTACGCGCAGCGCTATCCAATATAAAGGATCCTATTCCAGAGGAACATCAATCAAATTTCGTTTATCGCATACCATGCGCAGATTGCTCTTGTGTGTATGCTGGTCAAACAGGTTGACTCTTGGGCACTCGTATCAAGGAACACAAACGAGCTGTCCGTCGCTGGGATTCTCTGTCCCTCATCATCGCAAACGCAATAGAGTGCGACTACAGATTTAATTGGGTTGACACTGAGATCGTCGCCATAGCCAACACAAAACGAACGCGAGAATTTCTTGAGGCTCGGTATTCCACTGCGGGTGCTGTTAACCGCCACCCTGACTTGAACCGCCAATACGGTGGCTTGAGATCAAGACTCGCCTTCCCTCCCCTCCTAATCACACGCCAACGACCGCTAACCCAGCCATCCTGACATCAACCAACCCACCATCCATCCCTCTCCCCCCTTCCGCCCACAAACAAACCTTGACTCGCCTCCTCACACGCCGCTTGTTTAGCTGTACTGTCGCTCAAACTGCCTAGTGAAACTTTCTTACTTCCCCACTTCCTTTTAGTTTTCCCTGAGGACGGGCTAGTGTCATCGGCTCGAAAATTCACAAGTAAAACTTGATTTTTCCGAAGAACATCTTTCTGTTTCACTTACGTTTTATTTTGCTTTAATATGCATTATATTTTTTCCCTGGCGTGCTTAACTTGCCCATTTCACAAAAGGCAAGGCTGGTTCCCTTTTAAAAATATTTTCATTTTATACCATTTTGTTTCTTTCTCCCGTTCACCAAGTGCATTTATTTTGTACGAGGGAACATCTGAACATCTACCCCTACCTCAAGCTTCCATTAGTTGGTATTTACTCGAAAGGAATGCATATTGCCTGCTGCTACCCTCAATGCGGCTACCATGGGACGATGCTAAGCTTTTGGATAAAGGTCGGTTGTTGAATACGCCATATTTAATATGCGTCTTATCAGGGGTCGGACATCCTCGTTTCTATTTTCAGAAGGTTACTGACCGATAACTTAATGGTTCAGGTAAAAATCCGAACCGGAACATAGTATAGACTCTTGTTTGACATACAATAGCAGTTTGAGTAGAGACTATTATTTTTGGAAACAGCTTGCTAGTTTTAATAAAACACCCTGTTTTGTTCAGCTATTTGGGAAGTGCACGACAATCATTTATTTTTGTATTGTCAATACCATGTTTAATTTATGAGTTCCAGTAGCTTTAGCAATAAAATCTCTTGAAATTCTTTCTCAACAGTGGTTACCTTTTTGCTAAATTTCA